CGCATATCATGTATAACAGCCAACCACATGTAACTTAATTATTTCCCAAGATAAGTTTATTTGTTATGTAAACAGAAATAAATTCATATATTTATTCTTGTAAATAACATAAACACACAAATAAGCAACCTGAAACCTCATACGAATTACTTAATCTAGTTAATAGCTAAGAGTACAAAATCACATAAGATCTTTAGGATCAACATTAACATCCCTCACACATCATCATCCTTACCGCCACCCTCTCTCACATCCTCATAGAATCCTTGTATATTTGCTTGAACAATAATATCATTATTATTCTCAGGATCACTTGAAGTACTTTAACCATTGAACATTTAACCATTGAACATATTTCCTTGATAACCATCATCTGGAAAAGGTAATTCAATGATTTATGCATTCCCTTATTGATTGATAAAAGGTCGGGGATAGTGGTGTTGAAGGTTTCAGAGACGAAGAAAAGTTTGCAAGAGAATGGGGATTGGGCTAATTGTGATGGTGGTGGGGAAGAAACTCTGTGCTAATTGTTAGGGTGGAGAAAATCGTTGATGGAAGAGGTTGGGAGTCAGCATGCGAAAGAGGAAGAGAACAAACATAAATTGAGGCTCACTTATTGGTTTAAGGTTATGTTGTTTATGGTATTGGGATGGGGGAAGTGAACTTGACCCGGTTCATGGAAAACCCCCGACCTGACCTGCATGATTTTGCTTCAATTGACATGAACCTTGAAATCGTACAAAAACCTAAATATCGGAGATTTTAAGGATTTTACAGTTTTGAATCGGGATTTTATGGGATTTTAAGATTCAAAGATTTTATAGTAAAATCAGGATCGGAACTCATAGGTAAGATCGTAAAATCGTAAGATTTTAAGATTAAAATCGAGATTTTGACTACATTGGTTGGATAGATTATTGATTAATGTGGATTGGATACCTGGGTTGCAGGAATGTGTGGTTTAAATTTAGCTCCAGATTTCTCGGACCACTGTGGAATTCTGATTAGGCCTATGGTTCACACTACAACCTATCTCAAGACATTTAGATTATTAATTATGTGGGTTGAACACCATGACTTATTCAATATTGAAGGAGAATAGGAGGAGGATGTACCAGGTTAGGGTTATTTGGGATAAAGAAAAGACTTTATCTATTGAAAGGTGATCTTAGAAAGTTGAATAAGGAGGTCTATGGTGATATCTTTGGTAAGGTGAATGAAGCAGGGGAAGTGATGAACAATTTGCAGTTGCTAGCTTTAGATAATCCATCTGAGGATATCTTGGAAGAAGTAAAAGAGGCTACAAGAGTTTACCAACAAATGAAACAAGATGAGAATGCATTTTTCAGGAAAAAATGCATAATAAGATGGTTGGCATTGGGTGATTCCAACATAGCGTTCTTTCATAAATGAGTTCAGATCAGAATATCTAGAAAGAAAATAAAGAAATTATTTCAAATTAAGGGCAGAGTTAATTGAGGTGTAGGATATTGTTGATGAAGTTGTTCATTATTATAAACAAATCTTTGGCATGATTAGAGAGTATGTCAGAGCTATTGAGGAATTCATTAAAAATGCATAGACAGGAGATTGAGCAATGAAGAAAGGAAAAATATTATGTGAGGAGGTATCAGCTAAAGACATAAAGGATGCTTTGTTTGATATGGATGCATCAAATGCACCGGGTTTGGATAGATGGACAATGAGATTTTATCAGAGATGTTGGGGATGCGATTGGATAGGATATAATAGCTGGAATACATAAATTATGTTAGCAAAAGCAGCTCCTGAGAGGTATGAACTATGCATCATTAACCCTGGCACCAAATGTTGTAAATTTGGCTGCATATATACCTATACCTTGCATTAATGTAATATAGAAGATAATTGCAATGGTCTTGGCTAATGGGTTTCAAAATGTTCTGCCTTCGATGATAAGTAGGAATCAGCGGACTTTATAAAAGGAAGAAGTATACTAGTGAATATTATGATGGCTCAAGAGATACTTCAAAATTATAATAGGAAGGGAATTAACACTAGAAGTGTTGTGAAGATTGATTTGATGAAAGAATTCGACTTGGTGAATTGGAATTATCTTGTTCGTGTGATGAAAATTATGGGGTCCCCAAAGGAATTCCTAGAATGGATTTTTGTGTGTCTAGACTCAGCTCATTTCGGTATTTTAGTGCACGGAAGTCTGTTAGGGTATTTTAAAGGTGAAAATGGATGAGACAAAGGGATCATTTGTCCCATTACCAATTCACCATAGGTATGAAAAATGCTAAGTCTCATTATGGATAAAGCAGCTAGGGATAGACAAGTGTCATTTCACCCACAAATGTAGGAAGATAGGACTTACTCACCTGTAGTTTGCGGATGGCCTTCTGATTTTTACAAATTGGTCTACCTGTGCATTAAATTGGGTAAATAGGGTCCTTGGTAGATTCTATCAGTTGTCAATGCTCAAATGAAACCCTGAAAAGTGCGAGGTTTTATTTTGTTGAGTGCCCACTTAGTATAAACAAATTGCATTGCAATAACTGGTTCTACGGAAAGAAAATTACTTGTTAGATATTTGGGGCTAACACTGATTGTTGGAAAACTGTCAAGTCGGGAATGTGAAGTTGACATGCTAAAACACAACACCAAACTGCGACCAAGTGTAATCGTAGTCCGGAAATGCTGTAACAGGCAAGCTCTATTTGTCAACCCGGGGTCTAGATCTACTGCCTACTCCGTGAATATCTATTATCTAGCAAACTAAGTCGAGTGATTGTGATTTTAACTAAAAGCAGTAAGAAAGCAGGAAATGGTTCGGTTTTCTAAAGCAAGGGAAGAGTCGCTCGAGAATGAGTCCCCCTAGCTCCTTAGTTAGGTCACAGTTGTAATTACCCTGGGTTGATTAACTGTTGATTAAACTGCGGAAGATCCAACAGTAGCTTGGAATCTCTTAAGCTGACCAAGCCCTCTCAGTCCAACTACCCGGCAGACGACTAGTCTTCACTGGGATCGAAAGCTGAGGCTATGAGCGCAGAACTCCACTACTGAAATTGGATTCCAGTACAAAGCAGTAAATCGATTAACTCTCGTATAATCAATCTACCACTACCGATTGATGAAGCTCTAACAACCTAATCAGATTCTATATATCTCAAAGAATCAAGAAAAGATGATCAGACTTCAATTGACTAAATAAATCATGCATCAATCGATTAAAATCAATCATTATAATAATCCCAAGTCATTACAATCAAGATCCCTAACACATGGAACTAGGGTTCTTCATACCCAAGTGAGAGAAAGTTCTACTCCATAGAGAGAGAGGAAAACAAAAATCAGAGTAGTCATACTCACAACAATGAGGATAATTTGCTCCGAGATGATGATCTTCACTCCTGGGGATGCAATCTGGGCTTCAATGGTGAGAAATCCACTCCAAATAGCTCCTAGGGTTTGTTCTTTGCACTTTCTCTCTCTAAAACTCTATTTTTGCTCCAAAAAGTCGATTCCCTCTCCTTTGGCTCGAAATTGGGTTAAAACCCAGAATTTCCCGACCACACCGCCGTGTGGTATCCCAGTTTGCCCGTGTCAGAGTGGAAACGCAGAGTTTCTATTAGTGGACTTCAGGCACGCTGCACGGCCAGAGGCACACGGCCGTGTGGATTTCCAGTCTGGCCGTGTGAGCTCCCTGGACTTTCCACACGGCCACAAGGGGTCCCCTACATGGCCAGTGTGGCTTGCCCGTGCAAAGTGGTGCCACACGGCCAAGTCACACGGCCGTGTGGAAGTTTAGGCGTGCCCGTGTGAGTTCCTCAGCTTCTCGCCAAACGTCCAATCATCGTCCAATCGATCCCGAACTCGTTCCCAAACCTTCATTCACGTACTAGGACCTGAAATATCACAAACAAGAACAACCTAGCGTGAAATCAACCTAAAACACGAGAAATAAGACTCAAACGGTACAAGAATGGTGGACAAAAACATGTGTATATATCAAGTCATCAAATTCTCCCACACTTAACCTTTTGCTTCTCCCCAAGCAAACCAAATCATATAGGCACAGAACACGTGAATCATATTGGCTTTTGATCATTGTGATATGGACAACTCAACAGCAACCTAGACATCCACCACAGAGGACATTCGAGTGCAACAAAATCGGGTAAAGGAAGAGGAATCCTTTCTATTCACCAACCAACATAGACTTGACTCAATCACTTGACCAAGACAGTCATTGCATGCATCAAACTCAAGACATCATAATCAAGACCGAGCCATCTAGGTCCTCACCGGGGTAAAGAGCATAAGGAATAAGGAAATGAATCGCTCACTCTCGACCAGTGGGGTCAGGACACTTTGATGCGAAAAAATGCGCATACTTATTCTCTCAAATCCTAACATCTCTTCACCATGATGGCAACCTCTAAATGTTAGAGCTCACACAAGGGATGTCACCACTAACTAATCCGGAGGTCTTAGACACAGGTTCAAGTGACTAGCTAGGGTCTTGGACATGGGGAAAAGGCCATTTAGGTGGTGGAAGTATTCATAGCACAAGGTTCCATATTTCCAAACCCAACACAATCACAGTAAATCAAACCACTTACTTTCTTTCTGCCATTCTGCAATACTCGAGTTCTTTAGAGCACAAGAGCGAAGGTGGTCACAATAATGTTAGTATTTCCAAGCCGGACTGCTAAGAAACACTACTTAATGAGCGTGATTCGGATTTTTTGCTAGTGGCTCTCTTTAGGGCCTGTTTATTTTCCATTTCGTTTCCTGTTTTCTGTTGTCAAAACAAAAATTTGAAAACAAAGAAGAGAAAACGTTTTCATTTTTGTTGTTATTTTCATTAATGGCAACCGAATGACAAGAGGTAATTGACGAAAACGAAAAAATTGGTTTTCCCGGAAGGTAGAGGACGGGTTTTCTTCCGTTTTCATTAATTAGATCGTCTCTTCAAGACCTAGCAGCCGCATTTCATTTTTTTTTTTTTCGTTTCAATTGAAATAACAAAACTCTACCATCTCTAAGTCTAGCCGCAACCAGCATCTAGCAGCAGCCATCTTCTCCCCGCAGCTGACGAGCTTCTTCGAGGCGGCCGGGATTCGTTGTGGCGGCTGGACTTCTCCCCACAGCACCCATCTTTCCCCTCTCGCCGAGCTTCTCCCCGCCAACCCAGCTTCTCTCCGCCGGCTGCTCCTCCTCCTCCCAGCCTCCTGCTCCTCCCAGCTTCTTCGAGGTGAACGACGGCCGAGGCGACGCGCGGCTGCTCCTCCCAGCCTCCTGCTCCTCCTCGCCGGCTGCTCCTCCCGCCAACCCAGCTTCTTTCCCCTACGGCCAACAACTCCCCTCCAGCCGCAACTCGACGAACCGACGAGTAAGTCCATTGTTCATTTTTTTTCTTCTATTTTTGCAATTTATTTTGGTAGCAGATGGTTTTATGTGGATTAGTTGAATTTATTTGTTGTGTTGTTAATTTGTTGTTTGGAATTTCATTTTATTATGGAGTAGGGATAGTGATTGTAGTTGTTTGTTGTGGTTATCTATGGAGTAGGGATAGTGATTGTAGTTGTTTGTTGTGGTTATCGATTGTTCTGTTTGTTGGTTATAATATCGTGATTGTTGTTTCTTGTATAGTTTCACTCATGGAGAATACAAAAGCTGTCAATGATAATGATTGTGTGGTGGTAGAAGGAAAAGATGTATGGCCCGAACAAGTTAAGAATTTTATCATTGAATTGATGGTCGAGGAAGTGAAGAAGGGTAGCAAGATTACTACTACCTTCACAAAATTAGGATGGGCCAACATAAAAAATGGAATAATGAGTAAGTTTAACAGGGACTATAACGATTTTCAACTGAAGAATAAATTTAACCAACTTAGAAGAAGGCATAGGGATTTCAAGGGCATGATTAGTGAGACGGGAGTTAGTTACATTGCTGCAACGGGAAAGGTGAGCGCTTCTGAGGATCATTGGGAGAAATGGAGTAAGTAGGTAATTGAACATTTCGTTCAATTTCAATAAATATGTGTTTCGATTTTGAACTTAGAATTGAATAGAACGTTAATGTGTAGGGTCTAAAAGGTTGTACCTGGTTTAGGAAGTATGGTTGTCCAGAATACAACAACCTTTGCATCATATTTGGTGACACTACTGCTTCTGGTGGCAATGCTTTTGTCTCTACTCAAGAAGTCTCAGATAGCAGTGGTGGACAAAGTAGAGAGGACAACGAGGAAGGTTTTGTTCTTGCTGATGATGCCACTGATCACGCCAAGGAAGCAAAGGGCAAATCAAAGGTCAAAGGCAAGAAGAGGAAAGCAAACAAATCTACCTATTCAACTGCGGTAGAGATGGCAATAATTAGCATGGCGGAGAGTGCTAAAAGGAAGAATGATAGGCATGATGCCAATACTGCTGCATCTTCAGTGAAAGGCCCTATGAATGAAGTATCTTCGCAGGACAAGGACCTAGATGTTATGACATTGTGTATGAAGGTTTTAGATGAGATGGAGGTGGATGGTAGTGTGTTTGTCAAGGCTATTGATGTTCTCCATGATAATCCACTAAAGCGCGGTCTCTTTCTGCACATGGCAGAGAAGAGAAAGAAAGAATGGCTGGAAGGTTTGGTGTGATTGTACAACACCGACATTGTGTGTTTGTGTTTGAGCTATGTATGTTTTAGTTGAACAATGTTGTTGAGTTGAATGTTTGAGTGATTGTGGTTGTATGTTTTATTTGAACCGTTATCTTATTATGGTGTAAGCACAATTTCAATAAAGTTTGATTGTAATTTATTATTCTGCAATGCAGACATATGGCTTCTGGTTCTGATGCTGATTCTGATGATGATTTGGGGATCTTCATGATGCATTTGTGGTTGTTGGAGAAAGAGAGATCCAATGTGTCTAAAGTTCCATGTAGAACCTCAGACAAAACTGGGCATGCCTGGGTTAAAGAGCTTCTTCATGGTAATCCAACAAGGATATATGAGCAACTTCGGATGGACAAAGATACGTTTCTTGCTCTTTGTGAGGAGTTGAAACAAAATGGAGGGTTAAAGTCCACTACGAGAGTCACAGTTGAAGAACAAGTTGCCATCTTCCTCAAGACTATAGGTCACGCTAATGACTTTCGCGATATTGCCGAAAGGTTTCAACATTCTACAGCCACCATCTCAAAGTACTTTGACAAAGTATTGAAAGCTGTGGTCAAGCTTGCAAACAAGATTATTGTTCCACCAAATTTTGATAACGTCCCTGACAAAATTGTTGGTTCTAGACATGATCCATATTTCAAGGTAAATAAATACTTACTTCATAGTTACTAGTACAATATTTGATGTTTGTTGATCATGTCCACTTTTGTGATTACATAGGATTGCATTGGAGCTATAGATGGAGTGCATATTGATGCATCTGTTCCTACTGCTGAACAAATTCCATATCGAGGACGCAAGGCGAAAACAACTCAAAATGTGGTGTTTGTATGCTCCTTCGATATGCTTTTTACTTTTGTGGTGGCTGGATGGGAAGGCACGGCAAATGATGCTAGAATTCTCAGTGAAACAGTTTCAAATCAAGATAACAAGTTCTCGATGCCACCACGAGGTACTTATTATTGTTTGTACATAAATAAATCTCATGTAATTATATACTAATTGACTTGCTATATACAATGTAGGTAAGTATTATGTTGTTGACTCCGGATTTGCGAACATGCCTGGGTTCCTAGCACCATATCGAACAAAGGAGCTTACTCATTTTCAAGAAATCAATCGAGGTGGTGGACCTAAAACTCGTAAACAACTATTCAACTATTATCACTCATCCCTACGCAATGTCATCGAACATTGCTTTGGAGTTTTGAAGGCCAGGTTCCCAATTCTGAAACATATGCCTTCTTTTTCACTAAAGAAACAAACACAAATTGTTATTGCTACATGTGCTCTGCATAACTTCATTAGGATTCACTCTTGTGAAGATGTCCTATTTGAAGAATATCATAATTATTATATGGGGGAGGGAGTTAATGGAGTGCAAGGAGTTCTGGAAAGAGAGGAGTATCGTATGAGTTCAAGCCGAACACGACAAATGGAAATTCGACGTGACGGAATAGTGGACAAGCTGTGGGATGACTTCCAAGCTAGACTCATTTGACATTTGTGATTGTACTTCTACTTATTTGATACTGAATTATGTACTAGTGTCAGGAAATTTGACAAATTCTCATTTCCAAGTCTAGTAACCAACTAAACAGGTTTTCATTTTCAGTTTACAGTTTCCGATTTCACAAAAATCCTAGCTAAACAGGTTTTCAGTATCAGGTTTTCAGGAATCGTTTTTCAGGAAATAGCAGATTCCATTTCTCCATATTTCGTTTTCCGTTGCCAAAATCACAGAACGGAATGAGAAGCGAACAAGCCCTTAGCTTTCATCCATTTTTTTCTTCTCTTTTTCTTTTCATTTCTTGAGAGAACCACCACCTCTGCACATTTTTCAAACACATGCCCAACTTTTTTAAGAACTACCTCCAACCCTCACATTATTTTTAGCAGAAACAGCAGAGAACATGCAAAAACCACTCCTTGGAACCTTCTAAGAGATGTAAAAGGGTGATTTTCCATTACAAACCGAAAGAAAGAAAGAAAGAAAGAAAGTGACATGGCTCAAAGGGGCTGACTAGGGGGTATGACACACCAAGACAGTCAATTTGGTCATGGGCTAATCCTATGCCTCCATCATCTTAGCTAGTGACAACGTGAATGCTACACATCATGGAAGAGGGAACTATCGCACAAGAAGGAAACGAGCAGGCTCAAATCTCACATGGCTACCTATATGCTCTATCTCTCATTCTGATTCCCTGAACTAGATGCATAAACAACTGTCAAGAACAAGTGATCAATCCTTGTCAGAATTGGTAAGCAAACAGTTAAAAAACTGAACCCCTACACAGTTCTACTGCACGTCTCAGTCGTCATCATAGGTTGTCCTAGTTACAATCAAGCTGTCGTGCAATAATTCGAAAGCCATTCGATTCACCAATCAAATCCACAGTGTCAATATGATCATGCAAACCTCAGTACTTGGAGCCCTCAAATCTCGAGATTTGGACAGTGGACTAGGCTCCAAGCACACATATATAGATTCCAACCAATACCAAGCACTCCCCCACACTTAAGATCGACATTGCCCTCAATGGAGCAGAGTGAAAGATAAGGGGAACGATGTTCCGGATGGAAATACTGCCGGGAGACTGGAAGTGGACCAGTCAGCGTGAAACAGATGGAACCAAGGAATAGTTCTACACGAAGGGAACATAAAGAACACACTAGCACACTGTGTGTTAGGGATCAGAGTTAGCCCAGATGGCCATAAAATAGACAATCCATAAAAGAAAGAAAAAAAAACAAACACAAACGACAGACACAGTTCAAGCTCCGCACACACATGGAGCAAACACGAAAAGTCTTAAACAAAAACACACTCGGAGGGGCGACGAGTACAGACTACTCGTCGCCAAGGTTGTCAAGGTCGATGTCGTCCATGAAGGCATCATCACCGGCGGGCGGGGGTGGAAGTCGAGAGTCCTCCCAAAGAGTCCTCCAGACTGGCTACTCGCCCAGTATCAGCTGGAGCAGGTGTTGCTGGACCTTCTGCATACGCCGAAACCGGCCCCGCTCCCTCTTGATGTGAGCGAGGGTCACCCCCTGCTGGGCCTCCATACGGTCGAGGCGCTCATCATAGGCAGTCATCCTGGTATTATACTCGGCCTGGTGAGCCAAGTACTGCTGCTGGAACTGGAGATGATGGTCGAGGAGTTTCTAATTCTGGAGACTCAGCTGCTGGAACTGGTGAGTGAAGTAGTCCTGGGATGGAAAAGTAGAACTGCCACCCCCGTACTCGAAGGTGGTCGGGCGGGGGGCATCAGCAGCGTCCACATCCTCGGGGTGGACATCCTCAGTGGCCTCATCCTCAGGAGCATTGGGCTGGTCCTCCGCCGGGAGTGGTGGAGTAGGAAACCCCTCGATCCACTTGACGCCACGCTCGACTCTCAACAGGTGCATCTTCGAGAACGTTTCTTCGCCGAAGAGACTAGTGTCCCCCTGCTCTGTGCAACCCTGCAGTGGGATCTGGAAGTAGTTGGCCAGGCGGGTGATGAGGGGGGTGCTGTAGAGGGTCCCCAGTTGTAAAGCACTCTTGTCCAGAGTCCTGGCCACCACAAAACCCAGGTGGAGATGATGGTTCGCCGTGCGGATGTACTAGATGAAGTACATGGACCGCCTGGTGAGGGTGCTGGAACTGTCCTTAGCTGGAGTGTAGAACTTCGCTAGCATGTGGCGAGGATGTGGTTATCGAGCTGCAGGGTGCTAGCCTTCGTCCGCC